ATTACGATAAAATAATATACAGAATTTGTTTAATTGGTTGTACCAGTTTTTTGCTAGCTTGAGTTAAACTTTGTGCACTATTTGAATGATTTTGCCATTATCGAAATCAATGCGGGGGTAACCATCATATGTAAAAATGCTAAATTCTGGTGATTACCTCCCAACCCCGCCCCATCCCCCCAAAAGACTTAAAATTATTTTGTAAAAATGTACAACATGCTCATAATTTTCAACACAATAGAATATTTTTTTAATAATATGTTAACTAAGTAAAAAATTAGAATGAAACTCATTCTTGAATACTAGTAATTGGAAATTCCAGCATGATTATGGTGTATTTCGTTGCCATGGCAACTGGAATATTTTTATAATCATTTTCAGAAACTGCACAATACTTGCTTTCAGAATATATACATTGGTTTATACAAAAATTACAAGAAATACTCAAAAAATCCGTTGAAATCTAAATATCAATTTGTCTAGAAATGCTTAAAATCTTTGCCATGGAAGGGGTTAAAGGGTGCTAGGGGGTCAACAAATTAACCACCAGTTATAACTTATTTTTATAGATATGATATCTTAAGCTGTCAACTGTCATTTGGCAAAGAAAAATTTCATAAATTTTTGTTTTAAAATTTGATCATTTATTAATATAACTTTATATGGAGCTCTTCTTCTAAAGGCGATCAAAAAAGTATAAAAATGGCCACAACCACCCAGCCCCTTGAAATTTATACAAATGTTTTCTTGTTTCTTTGGAATTACCCCCTTCACGGTAACTCCGGCACTACACTTTTGCAAAATAATAACGTTTGGCGAAGGTTTTGTTGACATAGCTAAATGACGTATATTTAACAATTACTTTTACGTCATATTTCATCAAACTATATCATTTTGCCTTGCAAATGAGCAGTTACACAGTTTCTGTGAAACGGTCTTTTTTAATTTTTGGAATTGACATTGAACATGTATATATTTACATTTACAAATATCTTTCTTAGAGGAACTTATTGAAGAGAAAATATGTCAGTTCTATGTGAATTTTATTTGGGGGTCAGAGGTCATACAGAGCGAGGTGATATTTTGTCTAGGGCCTAGATCTACATATTTCTTTCACGGTGCAACTTGTTTTGAAATATTTCTAAATTAATGACATTGAAATCATAAAATGATAAACAATATGGACATTTTTAAATCGCGAGATGTATAATAAATCTTCCTTCGATGTGAATAAGGTTTTGAATACTATAATTAGCCCAAAACCGCACTTACCTTTTAACTCGAAATTCCTTTATGTACACTAAAGCGGGCGATACCACCGCTTTTAACTTCAAATATTTTAAGAACTTATGAAATACTGTATACGGGGAAATTTTCGCCCCCGTTTTATTTTCGCCCCTTTCGCCCTACCCTCATTTGGGCGAATTTAAAACGGGGCGAATTCAAAGAATACAGTATGTCTTCTTAAATAAGCTATGACTGGGCGAATTTAAAACGGGGAAAATTGTCTGCAAGTGTGAAAAGGGCGAAAATAACACGGGACGAAAATAACCCAGTATACAGTAGTTAGATTATTTTCATCAGCTATCCTTGTTCTTTCACCATATACACTCAACAAAACTTCTAAGTGTTCACTTTTATAGATGTATTTATTTAAAAACTACTGTATAGAATGAAGTGATATTTTCAAATTATTACAACAAATGAGTGTTCTCAACAATTATTGAAAGAAAATCAAATATCACCGATGAAAACCAATGTTCCGTGACGAAGCTTAAAAATAATAAAAGTGTACTTTGCGGCACGTGTTTTGTGTAATTAGTATCTTTTTGTGATCATTATCAAATTTTTAAAAAATGGTTTTACAAAAAAGCATAAAACATTGGCAAAATGACCATTGAGAATGAACATAGAGCCGTTGGAATGTTGATATCTGGACAATCTTTGCACCACGTTTTACTCACTTTTATTTTATTGCTTAATTGTACTTGATATTAATTTTAAAGATAAACAACCAGTATCAAAACCCATTTAAACACTTTTCTATAGGCTGCGCATCATTTTTCATCACCAATTTATCACAATTTGAAAGTTTTTGACAAAATTTAACCAAACCGGAAGTGACCTTGATTTTCGTCCGAGGCCAAATTTTCGCGTCACATCATGTTAAAAGAGTGTTAAATTGTTGTGAACCTATCTTAGAAACATGAAAACAAACAATTTCAATCGTACGAAAATGATAAGAAATCGGTGCTAGTGACGGTCTATTTTCAGCTCAAGCAGTCTAAATTATCCTTCAAGAGGCCACTTACGTGCTAAACACCCTAGGATATTGACCAAAAGGCATCTGTGTGATGCTACACTCTCAAATCCCGCATCTGAATCCCATTAAACACAATTGGGATTTTATAAGAAATTGTCAACCCCCCCCCCCTTTTCCACGCAATTTCAATGGTTTGAAAGGATCTAGACAGTAGGTGTGACAGCAGATGGTCAATCTCCTATTCAGGGGTTCTTGGTATTCAACTGTAATTACAGTCTCGTAGTAATTAGAGCGAGTGGTGGTCTTACTCCATAGAGCTTTTTTGTGTGAATTTTCATTTTGAGGGTACTTCGTTTCCTTGACACTTTGCTAAAAATTCTGTCGAGATATTTACATGAAATTTATGCAACATCCAGCGTAAATATGCATCATTAATTAGGAATAAAAGAAATTATTTATTGTTTGCATTTGTTCTCTAAAACTTCAAAAATGTTAGGTGAACACTTAGAAGTTTGGTTCAGTGTACAGATACTTTCTAAACTGGACTGCTAAACATAAATGTAAATATTCAAATGTTGGAGCGAGGTGAACTACTTCTAGGTCATTGCGCATCACAACATAGCAATACGGCGGCCTGTTCGTGTTATAAATTCGTCTCAAATGTAAATATAAGTAATAAACAACAGTGTAAAAAAGTTCAATGGGAAATGAACTTTTAGTTGGTCACTTGATCAAATCTACTGAGAAGTCCTTAAAAAAGGCCCTTCAGGCTTCACGGGATTTGATCACGCGACCAACTAAAAGTTCATTTCCCAGAGAACTTTTAGCTCACCTGAACCGAAATCTCAAGCGTGCTTTTCTGATGAAAATTTGTCCGTTGTCTGTCATCGTCGTTGTCGGCGTTGTCGTCGTCGTTCTTGTAAACTTTTCACATTTTCATCTTCTTCTCAAGAACGACTGGGCCGATTTAAAGTACAGAAGAGAGCCTATTTTTATATAATACACATTATTTACCATTCCATAAAGAGTTAGAACCGCCATTTAATTTGAAACAACAAATTCTTACTTCGGTCTGACCTGAATAATATAGGAAAACGATATCCTGGGTCGTCATCTGTCAATCATTCAAAATTCTAGCTATGTAACTATCACGGAGGCATGAACAAAATACAGAAGGATACAGGCTTACAGGTTTTAACAAAGATATAAAGAAATAGAATATTTCAAGTTTAAGCAGTATCTTATGAATATTAATGAGAAAAGAATCACGTGGTAGCAATCTCATGAATAAACTGCACACCATTTCCCCATATGCCTTGGACTAAGGTATTCAAGTTTGTTCAAATGAAGGACCAGGCCCTCTTCCAAGGGGAGACAATTATGAATTAGTGATAAATTTATGGTATCTTTAAAAAATCTCTTTCTCAAGAACCAGTGGGCTAGGAAAGATGAAACTCATGTAGAAGCATCCTCTGGTAGTGAAGATTCAAGTTTGTTCAAATTATGACCTCCAAGGGGTAGGGTGGGGCCATAATGGGGTATCAAAGTTTAACATAGGAAATACATAGGAAAAATCTTTTAAAATTTTCTTCTCAAGTACCACTGGGGCAGGAAAGATTAAACTCCACGTGGAAGCATTCTCATGCAGTGTAGATTCAAGTTTGTTCAAATCGTGACCCCCAGGGGTAGGGCAAGGCCACAATGGGGTATCAAAGTTTAACATAGGAATAAGTAGGAAAAATCTTTAAAAATCTTCTTCTCAAGAACAGCAAAGCCATGATTGGTCATAGTCATATGAAAGCATCCTCTGGTAGTGGAGATTTAATGTGGTTCAAATCATGATCCCCAGGGATAGGATGGGGCCATAATCAAGTATCAAAGTTTAACATAGGAATACATAGGAAAAATCTTTATAAAATTTTCTTCTAGATTCAAGTTCGTTCAAATCACAACCCCTGGAGTAAGGGTCGGGCCATAATGGGTGATCAAATTTTAAGATTGATTGATTGTATACTGTTTAATGTCGAGTCGGCAATTTTTCAGCCATGTTACCAGAAGAATAACATTGAAAAAATCTTTAAAATTATTCTTCTCGAGAACAGCAAAGCTGTGATTGTTCATTTTTATATGGAAGCATTCTTGGGTAGAGTAGATTCAAATTTGTTCAAATCATGACCCCCGGGGGTAGAGTGGGGCCAGAATGGGTGAACAAGGTTTTATGTAAGAATAAATAGAGAAAATTGTTAAATTTCTCCACAAGAACAACAAACTCATGATCATCAATATAAAAGCATCAAAAAAGGTAATATGGATTTAAATTTGTTAAAATCATGACCAACCAGGAGAAAAGAGAAACCATAAAAGTGGATAACAGTTAAACAATGGAATATTTATAAAGGCTTTATAAATAAAAATATTTAATTCTCCATCTTATAAACAGCAAAGCCATTGTGTATCATATTTATTTAAACGTATCCGTAGATAGTATAGATTTAAGGTTGTTCATATACCCCCGTGTACCCACTTTAAATTTATATTTAAACTTTTCAATACTGAACTCATTTTTGCTTTTATCAAGCCAGTTGCTCAGGTGAGCGATGTGGCTCCTGGGCATCTTATTAACATTGTTGTTTATTTCTTAAGTGAACTTAAGATATTCAAAATCCACATTTTGACATGGTTTCTCAGAAACTAAAAATGTTAACGATTCAATTGTATACAGGTACCTTTAAGGTCTGGTCTGACTTCTTTGACTGACTAGTCAAGGTTTGATGTTGCTACCTGATTCTTAAGAATCACAAGAGCTTCGAGGATCAAAAGGGAGAAATAAGCAATATAAGAAGTACTTATATCTAACGTTCCACATGTTCGGATAAGCAATTTCGATTCTAATTCCATTTCGTTTAAAAGGTTATATTAGGCTTGAATGAATATCAAAAATTTAGAATTGCTTTTTGTGATCCCTTTAGCAACTTTATGAATGTTTTTTTTAAATATAAGCTTTTTTTCTTTCAGTTTATTTATATTGCAATGCAAATCAGGCAAAGGAAAACAAAAAAAAGACAAAATGGGTGATCATTTTGCGAAAATTGTAAAATCCAACCAAATCTAGGAAACTGTCAGATGCTTGAGAAAGACGAAGTTTTTCAAGAAAATCGGATGAGAAAGCATAATTTATATTTTAAAAAAATGTTTGTTTCCCCCAAAAAGAATAAGTCCATCTCATACAAAGGAATCTTTTTTTTGATTTGTATCTTTTTTGCCATTGTTTTGACGCTTGTACATGTTAACTTCTCACAGAAAAGAACCCATTTACAAAAAAAGCAGAAAGAAATTGATATGGAAAAATTGAATATAAAAGGATGTAACCATATTGAAGTTGAAGATGTGTGGATTACTCCATTGCCAAAGTTGCTGACTGAATCTGCGTTTAGATTATTAGATGTAAATCAAGATGGAATTCTGGACGTTGTATTTGGTTTTGCAACGGGTGCGGATGGATATTTTATACCAAGAATTGTTTGCGACATCTACTTTAACGGTACGTATCCTTGCTTTGGTGGCATGATTGCCCTAGATGGCAGGAACGGGAAAGAAATATGGAGACATTATTCCGATCATGAAGTGTTTGGTATAAACTGTAACGCCGACCTGAATTTGGATGGTGTGGGCGACTGTCTTGGTGGAGGAAGAGCTGGGGTATGTGTCTTTCAAGTCCTTAAATAGAACCGTTATTATATAGCAAAATTTGTTGTACATGTATTTTGTCAAGATAAAACTTCTTCTGTGCAATATTCTCTTCCATTTTTAGCATTTTAACCCCCTCCACCCAAGAACATTACATTTGATCTCAATATTACTCATGCGCAGATCCTTAAGATACATGTACTAGTAAACTTTTTTGCTTCATTAATGAATGATAAAATATTTGTCATTAGAAGTCTTAATTTAAAAATTCTGAAAAAGCAACGGTACGTAGTCCGCATAGAGCTCTCTCCAGAATGGAAGAGGATCGTACATTTTGGCTGTGGTTGCGACGATGGGAAAATGAAATTGAAATTTTACCTCATATTTTCTTTAACGTACTCATATTTACTTCCAGGGATATTAGAAAAAGAAACAAGAGGCCCATGGGCCACATCGATTATCTAAGATTTTGGTAAAAGCGGAAATGAGTTCGTATTGAAAAGTTTAAAATATGAAATTAGTCCGGGAGAGGGGGTTACGCAAATGGAGACACGATTTGAACACGTTTGATTGCTTAACGTCCCTCTCGAGAATTTTTCACTCATATGAAGACGCCATCACTTGCCGTTAGAGAGCTGCAAATTTCGTCCTATACTCGGCACTCAGGGCCATTGACAAGGGAGGGATCGTTTTCGAGCCAGCACCTACTTTGACACGAGACCTCGGTTTATACGGTCTCATCCGAAGGACCGGTCTCCATGTCCCAAAGTGGGATTCGAACCCGCGACGTAAGGATTGACTCCTTACTTCGCGACTCTAGAGCAGACGCTCTAACCACTGGGGCGACTGAACACGTTTGAAGTTACATTACCAATACCATCCGACACGTTTTCCGACAGTGTTCAACCAAGAATTTTCACTGTGGCTTATCTTGATAATGACAAAGTCTCTTTCCTACATCAACCCAATACAGATGCCTTTTCATATCAAATGCTATCTATTACTGGAGAAATTATCGGTAAAATGTACAGGATATGTATTTTCTCCGATCATCAGCAGGAAGACATTTGCTTCTTCTGACGTTGTTCTTTATTGCTGATTAAGTTCTGTATTTCGAAATATATGTGGCAAACTAAATTTCCAGGAAGTTTTCGAGGAGGTGGATTGGTGCCTGAAATTCTATATATCCGAAGTCTGGCTTAAGTGTAGGAATGATCGTTACTTTTTTATAGACTCAGTGATTTCTTATTTCAAAGATAATTCTCATCAAATGCTTGCAAACAATTTCTTGTATTGTATAATACACAAGTGTATATATTTAAAAAACATCTAGGTTTTTGTTGCGGTGAATGGACGAACTGGAGATTTATTATGGAAGTTTGAAAATGAAGACGTAAGAAACGGAATAATGAATCTGTATACTGCTCATATTATTGATGACATGAACGGAGATTCCGTGGTAGACATACTGGCAATTCACGGCGGTGATCCTCTAAGTAAACCAGGTATGTCTTCTAAAGATGTACAAAACATGTGTATCACATAACGTGCAGAAAGCTACGCTTATACATGTAGTATGACAAACAAGAAGGTTTAAAATTAAAATTTTCCTCTATACATACGAGGGTTGATCCAAAAGTTCGTGGAATTTCTTCATATTTCATTTATTTTTCAGTGAAATTGGTTGAAAATTACAAATGAAAATATAGACACTTGATGAATATTTTAAAAAAACATTTTAAATATCTTTGATCGTAACTTTATGGCATGCCATAGAAACGGTTGTTTACACGCGTTTATTATCATTTAAATTCTTAATTCATGTGGTATATAAAAGGAAAATTTGTCATTATTAAATTAAACCTTTGTGTGAGAGTTTTACCTCATCTTTAAGTTGTTAGTTAACGTCAAAATTTGGTAGTATTCGATCACGCGTATAATAGACATAGGCTTGGGAAAAATGCATTTAGTTACTGGTTTTCCATTGGCATAAGAAATCTAAGAAAAATAGAACTTCCATGGACGTTGATAAAAAAATGTGACAAATTTAAAGCGTTAAACGTTGTCGGCTGCCGTTCTGATCTTGACATTGCTACTGAAATTGGAACATCATATGAAAAGATGGGTAGTATTTTGAAATATGAGTAAAAAATGAAGATAAGTAAGATAAGTTGGTGCGAGAGGATACCCAGGCTTTTCTTGAGAAAAAAAATGGAGAAAAAGACAGCATTTTGTAGAATTACGTATTATAATTGGACATTTGGGCGAAATGCTTCTATAACGTGACGTGACATATCTAACTTGACGTTACGTCGAAGTCTCCCCCGGGTTTCCCAACTATCCATTTTTAGAAAGCTTGTGTGAAATTGGAAAAACTGTTGCATTATGACTCTATATTATGAAAATGCCTGTTGATTGATTTCATCAAATCACGATAAAATTTTAGAAAGAAATTCCACGAACTTTTGGATCAACCCTCGTATATTTCATCTAACAATAGAAAATATTTTATGTAAAATCTCTACAGTTTCCATTAATGATTGAAATTATTTGCCTATATGAAATACTATTCACACACTAAAGAGGACAAAAAGAATCCTTGTGACCTTGACCTTGGAGTTTGACGCACTTTTACAAAAAATCACTACTACCTCCTAGTGACAGTTTTTAATTTAATCCTACTTAAAACGTTTTCTAAGCTTTCAAGTTGTGTTTGTTCACGGTAGAATTGTCATAAATATTATATTATTCCTAAATGTGCATAAAGTTTACAATTACAAAAGAATTGTTCCAAAAAAATTTTGAGCAAAAAAACTAAATTTAAAAAAAAACTCACTGTATTATTTATTTTCTCATGTATTTGTATACGTTCTGTAATCTGACTGGTCAGAAGTACTAGCACCTAAAGCTTGTTTATTCTGTGTATTTTTTGGAAATCGTCCAGACCTGTTAAAACACAAGTACCCTGCATGTTATTAAACATAAATAGTTTGCATGTGTACATACTACTTAAACCGCATGACATGAATATCTTGCCATTGCACGTTGATATAAATATGTCGCATTTTGACATTAATTAATCGAATGTTTACAAAATGGTCACGTGTCTACATACTCAGTAATTATGTTGCATCTTGCATTTACGATGTCAGATACGGGATTTAACATATTAAAATCAGATTCTCTCAAACGAGTTGTAATTTGCATGTCAAAAATAATCATCTTGCATGTAGACCCCTAATTATCATAAATATTTTGCATGTTGACATAATTTATCTTATGTAGGGGCTGCAGCAGCATGTAGGGGACAGATATATATGCCACCATAAATACAAAATTCATAAATTGAACATAATTTGCATAACTCTGATATCTGCAGCAAAAGGCTTTTTGCATACTATGTTCACCTAATCGAATAAAAAAAGTTATACCGGTATACAGCAATCAAAATATGAAGCAGTCAGAATTCAGCATATGTGCATGCATTTTCCTCATGGATCATTTTTTATATGCTACAACTTACATGTATTTATATTTCATACACATATAAGCCGATCTTGCAATACGTGTACATATACAATTTTAAAATTAAGGAATTGATAACCATATTGAAAGAATAAGTGTTTAATTTTTTTTGGTTCTTGATGTGATCAATCGATTGATCATCGTCATTAAATTTAAAAATCTGACAGTTATTCCATATATTTACATTCCGAAAATTTACGTCCTACAAGCCCCGCTTCTTTCTCTATTTGTTCCGCGTTTTTTTTTATCGGTAAACCAGTAGTTTTATGTAGACATAAAGTATTTTTACCATTTGTAGTTTTATTTAGGACAAAGACATTTTAAAATTTAAATATCAACTGTTATTTAAGATTCCCTATACAGCAAACAATATGGATGGTATTTTGCTTGCTTAATATGGCGCTTCTGACCGCGGTGATCAATTTGCTGGGGTTACCACAGGGCTGCCCCACAATCAATACAACATATGTGACGACCCAAATCGGGCGGATCATGCACTTGGTAGGTCACAAGTGCATGAACGTCAGCAATGCAATAATCAATCAAATTCAATCAGTCAGTTATAAATCAATCAGTCAATCAATTAATTCAAATATCAATTAAGTCAATTTCCTGTGAATCAATCAATTATCAATCAATCAACTTCAAATATCAATCAAGTCAATACGTAAGAATATGTGTTGCATTTGTCCAATTGCGTTGAGGTGCGACGGAATAAGCCACTTGTAAGGGCCATGACTACTCGTGTCTACTACAAGTAATCATGGAACTTCAACCGCCACCAATGGGGTGCCAAGAACCATGGTGACGGCGGCAGTATCTCAACACAAATGGTCACCGTCGACCGATGCCTGCTCATCCAGCAATACAAATTTACAGAATAAATGATTACACAAGTTTTAAAAATGGAGTCAAGGACTTATCTGTATAAAACAACTTAATATATTTATTCTAACATTGTTGATACTTACCGGCACTGTATTTTTCCATTGGTTACTTGTATAAATTACCTAAAAGGCTGTCACTCTTTTTATGGCTTTTAACTCATTAAAACATCTCTTACCAAGTTTCCTTGCGTGACAAAGTAATAAAGAACTTAGAAAAAATCTTTGCAAGTGTTGCTTATACCGGTAGTTGTATAACGGATTTTGTACTGTAACAACCCAAATGACATACCCAAATTGGAAATGGAAACAATACTGTCACCTCCTAGCTTAAGGTATTTAGCTACTTTTAAAAATAACAATGTGTGTCCTAATACACCACCACCCCCCGAACCCATCCCTTTATATGTATGTACCTATCTATATAAATTAAGACCCTGCTTGAGTACTTCACAATTTATGAACCAACTATCCATTATAGTAATTAAAAAAAATTAGAATACCATTAAAGAATGTAAAAATATGTAAAACATGGTAATTACTTTATTAATGCATAAACGAAATGCTTTTGAAAGCCAGCAATTCTCAAAATTATAATAACCTCGTCTTCCCCTGTTGCATTCTGGTGGGAAATGTGTAGTAGTTGCCTCCCTAATTAAAATGAGCGAGGTTTAATATTTTATTCTACAACAATGACAAATATATATTATAAACTATCCAATACTGTCTACAGCTGCCCGCAATTTCTGTTAAAAAGGGGTTGAACCAAACGCCCAATTCAACCTTTTATGTAAATCTTTGATTTAAGGTACAGTATATTTTATATTTATGTTGCATCTTGTCAAATGGGGAATTTAACTCGGTTGAAACAAAAACAAGAATTACGAGTATTTAAAAAAAATGCCTCGAAGAGAGTAGTTTTATCTCAGAAAAATGGTACTAGTTATTTATATCAAGCTTAGACCCTTAACATTAAACCTATATTTGGTAATTAAGGAAGTACCTAACTTGATCGAACGGACCTTTTTTATGTTTAATTTAGATTGTTGAGCATATGGGATTTGATATACTGGTAAATTATTGCGGAAATTAATAGATTGCCATCTGCAAGTCTGATTAACTCAATAGAGGTCATTGTACGCTGTCACAGACACACTATTCTTAGTTGTATTTATTTTTATCCAAATTTACTTGAGATGTATAACTTATTTCAAGACTGCATCATTCTTTGTATATTTTTCAAAATTTTACCAAGAATTACGTACGGTAAAACTTGATATTACTAAATTGGGGGTATACTTGTGCAAAATACAGCTTTATAAAACTTATCTGATCAATCATGATAAAACATGTTATCAACCTTAGATAACCTTTGGTAACCTTAGATATAAATTAACCTATCCAATAACAATGTATTGGGCAGTGTACAACAACTATGAATGATGAAATAGTTAAATATCTGAGAATATAGAGTTTGGAGTATGTTGTAGGTTTGTGAAATTGAATACATTAAAGATGAGTTACTGTTGAATACTCGATTTATTTCGACATGATTCCCATTAATTACTATTACATGTATCATGTAAGGGTGGAGATTGTGTCCTAATTTACAACCTTAAATTTTGGTAAGAGTTATTATCCTTTATTTAAAATCAATTAAAAAATTAATTTTAAAAAAAAACTTGTCTGGTAAAAAAAATTGTTTTTCATTGTCATTCTGTTTCTAATGTTTTCATACATCTATCCACCACAGTATTTAATGATATCCTATTATTTTACTATTTATTTAATTAAGAATGCTTTTCCCCAATGCAATCTTAGAAGTAAGTAAGTAAATGGTTTATTATAGTGACATGTGTTATGTACAATTACAACAGCTTAGATTAAGTACGGCTTAGTTTATGAATTTTTTAAAAGACTTTCTCTTGGGCAATCCTTTTTGACTATAAAATACTTTAATATGAAGAGTATTATGTACTTGATTGACATTTAAGGGTAGAGAATTTGTCCCTATTAGTAGTATAGAGTGAGACTTTTTATGCTAATTTGAGGTGCAAACTGATTTGAGGTGGAGAGGTGGACTTTAAAGGCGGAAG